CTGTGTCAGTCACAATAGTTAATTGCCACTAATTAATGGAGTACTCATTGCACTCCTAGATACACACCCAGTTGTGCAACAGGAACACAACCAGGAATGCAACTGGTATCTAGGTAATTAGCAACACTTTGCTACTGCAATGTGTGTGATTTCATTACTGTATGCTTACACTGCCAGTAGGATTTCAGACATTGTGCAATATGATACAAAATTAGTCTTCTATTCAAAGAAGTGGGATGTGATGTTCAAACTCTTGCAGAGGTAGCACTTTGGAACTAGTTAATTTCAACAATAAAATGCAGAAATGGAACAACAAGCCTCTCTGCATTAGAACAGTCAATTTTGTAGTTCCATTATGAAATGCAATTTCCCAGGTACAGTTAGTCTGTGATAATTTTTATAGACAGTATATGTGTATAAAATCATGTCCAAAGCCTGATGCTGAAAGAGAGATGTTTAGTGCCAAGGAAATGGGGGGAAAGTTAATACCTGAATATAACACATTTCAGAAGAAATTGATGCTATGATTTCAAGTTAGCAGGATGCTAAATGGAAGTTACATAAGGTTTGTCCTCATCTTCTTCCATTCCAGAATTTATTCTACTCAAGTGTTGTTGTGTTGTTTTGTTTATGTGCAACAGTGTTACAGTATATATCCTGTTATGCCAGGAACAGATTTAGCAAGTCCTGGTTGAAGTTCTATCGATATTTAAAAAGGCTGCTTTTATATGGTACAGTATTAGATGTTCACAGAGTGCATCATATTGATCTACAAATAAAAAGCTATTTTCCCCACTACAGCTGGCTTGCCCTTTGTAAGGCGTTTTGTGGTAAACTGAAATTTGAGGATTTCCTCCCCTAAACCAAATTGTACTATTACATATGACCAAAAAAAAAGGTAAATGTTGTCGCTATATTTAGAGAACAGATAGCTTGCATACTTTTTGGCATAACTTCAAGCAAAAAATAATATAATGCAACTGTGTTTTATATTTAGGCCATGGTTAGATTATTATGTTAAAACACAGATAATAAATTAATTACACATTTTAGCTACTTCGTGCTTGCACATAGTGTACAACCTCTTCCTATTCTCTTTTTGAAGAGTGGGGCATGGGGATGGGGAGAAACTAGAACAAATAAACTTCCATTCACAAGTGCAGCATATTTATTCACCATAAGTTACTAACATTTCAGCTGGTCTAATGCAATGCTTCCCAGCCTATGATCCAGACAGAACAGAACAAGTATTCATTTCACAAAGGAGAGATAGACATGGATTGAAGTTCTTAAGTGCAGCTCAACACAACAGTGTCAATTCTGGAGAGAACAAAGCAGTTTTATTCTACTCTGAACAGTAGCCACTCTGAAGGAATGAGTGAGTGAATGTTAGAGATTTGTGCTTTTAGGGAAACCAGCAGCAACCAAAGAGTTATTTAAGTCATTTTTAAGTCATTTCTGGGTAGGCTTTGTGTCCTGAATATGATGATGATCTGGATTTGTCTTCTAGTAATTTGCTGGAGTTTGCCCTTAATATCTATTTTAATTATTTATTTTGACTTGGCCTTTGAGACCTATCTGAAGAGAGGTTGTGTTGCAAAGGGCCTTTGGGAACTGTCTTCATTTGAGGGATAAAGAATATCAACTGTGAGAGGACGTGCACAGGTCTAGTAGGTGAAGTGCAGCTGGAGTTGGCAACCACTGGTCTACTGTAATGCACTCTGCATGAGGTTGCTCTTGGACACTACTCAGAAATGTCAGCTAAAGCAGAATATTGTTGCCAAAATTCTGACTAGGGTAAACTGATGGGTTTTCTCTGTTCTATCAGCTGCACTGAATGCCAGCTTTTTTTTTTTTTTTGGTGCACTTCAAGGTTTTAATGCACTGTAAGAATTATTGCCTTTAAAAATGTTACCGATCAGATATTTGATTATATATATCTTAGCGTATGAATTCTTCCTATACTTTTCAGGTGTGCTATTGCGCCTGTCTTTCCTGTGCTATTTCTTTCTGAGACACGGTTGGTGGCAACACATGAAAAGCCTGTGTAGTCATTCTGGATGTGATGGTCTTTGTGCCAAGAGCCTAGGTGATCACCTTCTTTAACTATACTCCACCAGCAGCTGAAGAAAATTCTCATTGGACAAGTGTTCTGAATTTGTTATTGTTAAATAAAATTTATTGTTCATTTTAGATTATTGTGCTTTAGTTCTTCAACGATGCTTTTATTCTGGAAAGGGTCTTTATTGCTAGTTTTATGTTTGTGCTCACATTTTGTGAGCCACTTTGAACAGTTCCTTTCTCAGAGACAAAAGCCATGTAAACTTTTTTGAATTGATCATAGTTTCTGAAAAAGAAAACTAATATACCCATCCTTTTTGTATCAATAACAATAATTAAGCTTTCTGTTCTATATCATTAACTTCCACCATTACATATATCTAACTGGAGTTTGAATACTACATTTTAAGAGTTTGTATAACCTAAAAAATAATAATAACACCTCCCCAAATTATTTCTCTGATTCCCATCTGAAATAAAATTCAACAGGTTTACTTGCAGTGAGTAACAACACTTACCAGCAATTTCCCTCAGATTTCAAGCTGGACAACCATTTTTTTTACTTGGAAAAAATGATTCACATTTAAAAGGCCTTAACAATTTACATGTATCCATTTATAGGATGCTGACACTCTTGAGGAAAACCATAGAAAAAAGCTGTTTCAAACCTGTTATTGTCAGATTGTATCATCTGCCTACCAACACCCCTGTAATCAGCTTAAGTGTTTTTTTACATACCAGAAATAAGTATTTTAGAAATTATACTGCACAGTAAATTAGGCTGCACAAATAGACATATATATTTTTAAATTATTTTACCATATTATCAATAGAAATACTACAGCCCAGTACCATCACACTGTGGCACCCATTAATGCATACAGTTCTGAAAGAAAGCTTTCAGCAGAGGCAAAAATGAGAAAGCAAAATGAAGAAAGTCCTAAATCCTACTGTTGCAGCATGGATGACCACACAAAGTGACTGTTTTTAATTATGTTTGCTAAAGTTAATTTCATGAAACCAGACTAGATTGGCAATGCATGTTGAAAGACTTTTCTTAGGATGCTAGGGTCTGTAAGAAGAAAAGATAAAATAGCTGGCATCATTATTGAACTAGGAACCCTTCCTCGTTGCCCACTCTAGACTTGCAGAGTCATCCATCAGACTGACTTGACACTAGGTACATTGCTCAGTTCCTCATCGGGTGCAGATAAATACTTCCTCCCACCCAGAGGCACACTAAAGAGTTCAATACTTATTCCATTGCTTAAGGTGAAACACAACACAGTTGTCAGGGCTTGAAAAAAAAACCCATCAATAATAATACAGTGTGCCCTGAGCTCCCTTCTTTCTCTTTCTTTCCGTAAATGTCTGATAAGCTTTCAAACTGATTGTTGAAGAAAGTGCATTCTGTATTAACAACTCCTAGAGGCAAGAGGAGGAGGTGAAGGTGGAAAATGGGCAGCCTTGGTCCTCTGCTTTCAGGAGTACCCTTAAACTGCCATGTGTTAGTTTAGGAGAGTTTAATTTCCTGGAAAACAGGGCTGTGAGCTGCACCATTTTCCATAAGGTCAGCAATGCAATAGTCTGCAGAGAGAGAGAGAGAGAGAGAGAGAGAGAGAGAGAGAGAGAGAGTATCTACCACCTGACAGGAAGGCACACTGCCAAGAAGAAGGGGGCATCCTTCACACCCACTAGGAAGCAAGAAGGGAGAAAAGGTGTTGCCTGATCTTCTGTCCTCCTCCAATACTACCTCACCCATACTGCCTGCTGGAGCATCTCACCTTCTTTAAAAGTCTGTTATTCTACCAACAAGTCAACTCACACACCTTCACCCCAAACTGTCCATAGTTCCCGAAGTCAAGCTCATTGCACAATAGTTTCTTAAATTACTGGTTGCCTGTCGACTTTCACAAAACAAGCAGTGGGGGCAGCAAAAGCCTACTACAGAAGCTATTTAATTCAGAAGATGTTTGGGAAGCTCACAAAATAGCCAGTTCTTTCCCTCACACTGTATTATTATCACCATAATGCCCTCGCCGCAACCACCACCACCTCTCCTCCTCCTCCTCCTCCTCCTCCTCCTAATAAGAATAAGAATACATTAACACAAACAAAATCTAAAAGGGGGAGACAGGACAGGAAAAAGAAAATGGAAAGGGGTTTGTCGTTCTTTGGATGCAAGCTCCGCATTGCACAGTCATCAAAGTTAAGTAGGAGGTTTCGGGCTTGGTGAAAAAGACTGGGGAAAGCCCTAGAATGGTGGTTGGTTGCGTTTATATTTATATATATATAACGGGGGTGGGTGGGTTGGTTTCTAAACATGTGGAGGCGTATCTTCAGCCATCCTGAATGGTTGCCAGAGAACCACCATTTACCACTCTGCTTACAGCAGAGGGGAAATTAGGAAAAACCGGGCAGAGGAGCAAAAAAATAGATCTTCGCCACTTTCCGCTTTCGAGGAAAGGGACTAAGAGGCAGCCCCAGCCGGGGAATTCACCTCAGCTAAACTCTTAACCTCCCTCCCTGGGGTAAAGGGAGAGGAGAGGGGCGGGAAGGGACAGGAAGCGACTTGGGAAAGGTTCTGCTCGAGTTGCCTTGTTGTGCCCTGGAGTTGTTCTGGGTGAGGCGCGTTCGCCTCATTCCCTCAACTCAACTCCCTTCGACAAGGGTGCCTGCGCTTCTTTCCCCTCGCACATTAGAGAAAAGGAACGAGGACAAAATAGTAATTGGTATCTCATGGACGGAGGTACAGCACAGCCCACCCAAGAAATCCAGCCTCGCTTACGGTTGCCCTGCTCAGAGCACGAGACCAACAGGCACGGAAATAAGAGGCACAGGGACATTTTTTTTTAATTGCGCCCTTTCCCTCTGAGGAAGAGAACGCCGATTCTTTCTCCTCGCTCGCTCTCGCTCTCTCTCTCTCTCTTTTTTTTTACCTGATGGCTGAAAGGGGCTTCCCAGGAGGCGGCGAGGTTGCAGAAGGAGGAGCAGGACGAGGAGGTGGCGGCGGTGGCGATGGAGAAGGCGGCATCTTCGGAGAGCCCGCAACCAGCCATGCCTCCCTCTCGCTCCCCGAGTGCACAGAGAGCGGGAGAACAAGCCGCGGAGCGGGAGAGACCGCGAAAGGCGCTCGAGCGCTTGGCGAGGGAGACGGCGCGCGGCTCGGTACCGGGCTGGCCGCCTCGCGAAACTCTTTGCCGCTCGGGCTGCCCGGAGGGAGGGGGGGAGCGGTTTCTTGGCGGCGGCAACTCAGGCGGCGAACGCCGAGGGAAGGAGCGAGACAGGAGGTTGGCGGGCCGGAGAGCACAGCAAGCACCGGGCGCTCTGGACGCTGCCTTCTGGGTGTGCGGCTCTTTGGAGAGGCGCTGGCAGGAGCCGCCACCGGAATCACGTGGGCGCGCTCACTCCGCCGCCGCCGCCGCCGCCGCCGCGGCTGCTGCTGCTGCTGCTGGGGACAGGCTGCGTGCTA